GTGCCAAACGGAGAAGCCGGGCGTTAAAAATACCCATCAGGGCCCCGAGGGGCGGAAGTGGAGGTGTCAACGCCGGCAGCTCAGGGATGGGGACCGCGCTCGGGTGTCCCAGCCCCCGCGGGGTCCCTCCCGCGCAGCACCTGGAGCACAGGAAAGGGCCGGGATGGCGGCACCGACAGCTGGGCACGGCACGGCACGGCACGGCACGGCCCTGCAACCCGCTGCTGAGCCTTTGGGAAATGCAAAGTGACAAATGACGCCCAGCACGGCTGCACTGATGTGACGCGGGGCTGACACTGCGGCCTCACCGGGGGCCGCGCGCGGGAAGAGAATCCAATCAAATGTTAAAAATAGGTCAGGGGGAAGGAGAGCAGCCGGGTTAATTTCAGCTGCCAGTTAACAGCATCTGCCCGAGGCCTGCGTGGTGCAACGGGGGGGGGGGACGGCCCCGAAACCCCCACCCCAAATCTCTCCTGCCCCAACCCAGGGCTCAGCCTCGGATATGGGTAGATGTTTCCGCTGTGGGTTTGCCCCAGAATGCCACTTTCTCAGCCCAAAAGTCCCCATTTCGGTGCATGCTTTGGGGATGCTGAGCATCTCCGCGCGCTCCTGGCACGCAGGGCTGAGGTCCGCCTGGGGTGGCTGCGTGGTGACGGTGTCAGCAGCACTCATCCCGCAGGGTCACGGGGAGTTGATGCTGGCAGTGCGGGTGGTTGGTGTCCTCCCAGCGCCGGCGGTGATGGGTTTGGGGCTGGAGGCCAACGCGGTGATGGCCACCACGTCCTCTGCGTCCCCTCGGTCACAGAAAGAGCTCTGTGCCACCTCTGGGGATGAGCGGCCGCGGGGCCGTCACTGCGCTGTCCCCATGTGGGGAGCGATGGATGCCATTCCTCCCTCCATCACGAGGAGCATCGCATCACCCCCACCTCCCACCCTGCTGACAAGCGGGGACGGGGGGTACCCAGACACAGTGGGGATGAGGGGGGGGGGGAGTGACTTCCAACCGCCCCCCCCCATACTCAATCCGGGTGACCCCGAATTTAACCCCACTTATGGAGCCGGCAGACGCTGCCCCGGACACAGATCAGCTGTGACAGCCGTGAAGTCCCCCCCGGCGGGCGCTGGCGAGGCGCTGGACGTGGCGGGGGGGTGCGAGGCCTTGTCACGGCATGTTGGCTCCCTCACCGCCCCGCAGCACCATCGCTGCCCTGCGTTGGGCCGGGCGGCTGCCGACCCCCGGGGGTCCGGTGGCACTTGTCTCTCCTCGGCATCGATGACGGCGCTGGGCACATGGCAGCCGAGCTGTCCCCCCCGTCCCCCCTCCTTCTCTCCCCCCCCTCCCCCCCGTCATCTGAGGTCGTTGGGGTGGGAAATGGGAGGGGTACCCAGAGTGGAGGGGTGCTGAGGAGCTGATCTCGGTGTGGGGTGATGAAGGGCTCCGAGGTGGCAGCGCTGTGGGGGGGGTCACCTCGTCCCCGTGCCAAGCGTGCAGGATGGAGATCCCAGGGGAAACCAATGCGGACCCCCCCCAGGCTACGGGGGTGGGAAGGTGAGGCACATGGGAGTCACTGCCTCTCCAGGAGGAACAGCTGTGGGTCGGGCAGCTGCTGGCACACCTGGGGCATGCAGAAAGCTGGCACCGGGCAGCAGCTGCAGGGGAACACGTGGCCGTGCAGCTGGGGATCCGCATGGGCACAATGTGGGGGGGGTGAGCATTGGTCTCACATCGGGCACCGCTGGGGGATGTGGGCACCCAGCAAACCCAGAAGGAGCTGAGCTGATGGCCGGCAGCCCCGCTGCTTTGCAGGAGATGGGGACGGGGAGCCGTGCCCACACTTCAGCTTCACCATGGGGCCAAAGAGTTCCTTTTGCCGTGGGACGAAGGACGTGGGCAGAGCCCCCGCAGCGGGCACTGTCCCATCCCCTGTCCCCGTCCCCCAGCCGGGCAGCCCCCCCATTTCTTATAAACGCCTCTGGTGGTGCTCCCCCGTGACACAGCAGCTCTGGGGCTTGTGGTTAAACCCCAGGGCTCCGGCTTTGACTCACACCGGATCCGCGGCACAGAGGGGCCTTTCGGCGCCCACGGCTGGAAAGAAACGCTCACCAGGAGGGAGCACCGGGCGCTTCCTCGCAGAGCCATTTCCTATAAACCCAGAGGAGGGGAGTGGGGTCCCAGTCCTGGCTGCTGCTGCAGCCCCTGTGGTGAGTAGGGGGAGTTCAGGGCGTTTTGGGGACCGGCGTGGGCACCAACCCCGTGAGCGCATGGAGCCCTTCATCTTGGGGACAAATTTGACAGAAGGGTTGAATGGAGGTGGCAAAGTGACAGCTCAGTCCTTGGTAGACATCAGAGAATCCCCTCTGTGGCTGTCAGTGCTGTGCTGCCTGCATGGAGCCAGACCCTATGGCCCCCATGGCCCCAGTGATCCCTATGGCCCCCGTGGCCCCTTTGATCCCAAATGGTCCCCAATAGCCCCAGTGGCCTCAACTGTCCCCGTGGTCCCAATGCCCCCATGGTCCCAATGGTCCCCGATGGCCCCAATGATCCCAATAGTCCCAGCTGCCCCTATGGTCCCAATGGTTCCCAATAGTCCCAATGGTCCCCTATGGCTATGAGGACCCAGGTGCCACAGCCCCTGGCAGGAGGGATTGGAAACCGAAGCAGCGAGGGCTGCTTCTTTTTTCCCCTTAGCAATAGAAACACTGAGCAAAAGAAAAAGAAAAAAAAAAACAACCCGAAAGCCTGCTGGAAAAAGAAACCTTTCAGCCAGCCCAAAATAAGAGGGGGTTTTTGATGGGAAAATAAAGTTGTTTCATAGGAAACGCAGAGCTGTGACCCACCGTGGGGTGG